AGGAGGACGCAGCGGGCTCTGAGGACAACGGTGGCGACCCAGAATTTATGTGTGGGGACGAAGCTGAATCTGAGGAGGTGTCCCTGGAGGAGGAAACTGGGGTGGACAGGAATGCACCCAACACACGGGGAAGAGGGTCGAGGGGGGATGGGCAGAACCAACAAGCTGTGGGAGATACAGGTGGAGCAACGGATGCGACAGATGTCTTCTCGCCTACGGACATGGCGAAGGACGAGGCCATCTGGCAAGAAGCTGGGGGTTGGGATATGCAGCAACTGCAACGTAGTGACCAGCCCTTCCTTGTCCGCCGCCTACCTCCACAAATCCTAGACAAATACAGCCTCTGTCTGCTGGCGCCACTTCTGAGGCTGGAGAAGTTCCCCTCGTGCCTAGGTGCGTGGAAGATTCTTCTCTTCCTACCGAGGCTTACACTACGACCCTCTCCCGAACCAGTTGTTGGGAGCCGCTGGGCTCGAATTGAGGCTCGGCTGCACCAATTTCAGCAGGGGAAATGGGAGGGACTTTTCGAGGAAGCTGGCATTATCCCCGATACCGAAGCCCCGCTACGACACCAACCGGACGACGAAGGTGTTTGTGCACGTGCCGAAGGGCTAATGAAAAAGGGCAATATCTCGAAGGCGGTTGCTGCGTTACACACCAGCCCACTCGCGGAACCCAGTTCGGCAACCCTCGCTGCACTCCGGGCGAAACACCCACATGCCGAAGACGATCTCCCAGCCTGGGTAACAGGGGTAGCAACTTCTGAGCTCGCCATCCAGATCGACGCACTTCGCGAAATCCTGGCGAAGTGCCCGAATGGGGTGGGTGGGGGGCCCTCTGGAACGTGCTTCGAGCACCTCAGAGATCCTGCTCTCGCAAATGAGGAGATATTAATTCTACTCGCCAAGACAGTTAACAATTTCCTTAGCACTTACCAGTCACAGGAGCTGCGCGACCTTGCCCTATCCTCACGCCTGATAGCTTTGGAGAAACCGGGGGGTGGGGTCAGGCCTATCGCGATTGGCGAAACATTGCTCAGAGTAGTAGCGAAAGCAGCTCTACACTCGCTCGGCCCCAAGATCCGTGAGTTCTTTCTCCCGGTCCAATTCGGCGTGGCCATCCCGGGGGGAGCGGAGTGAATCATACACTCGGTTAGAGCGCTACTACAGGAGGACGTCTCGCGGATCGCGCTGCAGCTGGACGTAGAGAACGCGTTCAACAGCGTCGAACGCAGGGCTTTCTTCGAGGCGCTGCAATGGTCTAACCTCAACCCCCTACTCCCCCTGGTCCGAAACCTCTACGACGGCCCGTCGAGGCTCCTGGTCGACCAGCGTTTTGACACTGAGTACATCTTGAGCTCCCGCGGAGTTCGCCAAGGCGATCCACTCGGCCCGCTCCTGTTCGCGGCGGCGATCCAGCCAGCACTGCTGAGTGTGGCCACTACTCTGCCGGATGTGGCGATCGTTGCCTACGCCGACGACATTACGATTGTCGGCCCGCGTGAAGCTGCCTGCCTCGCCTTCGACACGATCGCTGCGGCTTTGGGAAAAGCAGGACTGCGATGCAACATTGCCAAATCAACGGCCTGGGGGAGGAACGCGAGCGAGCAGCAGGAGAAGTTGCCGCTTGGGCTGACCTCGAACCCGGGAGGAATCAAGGTGTTGGGCAGCCCAGTTGGGACTGATGACTTCTGCACGGACCACGTACGGGCGGCGCTGGGGGAGGCGGCATCACCGCTCCTCCTCATTTCACAACTGAACCCGCAGCACGCGCTCCTTATGGTCTCACGCAGCATCTCACGGCGGATCTCGTACATGCTCCGGACGACCCCGGCTTCAACACTAAGTGCGCGAGAATGGAGGGAGTGGAGTGAGGCTCTCCTGGGCTCGGCGCTCACCGCGGCGAAACTACGGATCCCCACCTCCGAGCTTGAGCAGAGCCTGCTGTGGCGTCAGGGGACACTCCCCATCCGCCTGGGTGGCCTCGGGGTGATCGACCCTATCTCTGAGGCACCCGCGGCATACCTGGCTTCAGTCACGGCGGCACACATCCTACTGAGGCAGCTGAACCTGCCAACGGACTGCCTCCTGAGCCGGGCGACACAGCTCCTCTCCCACGAGTGGGCCCCACTACCACCTGAGACCAACCCCAGAGCCACGATGGAGGGTAACCTCCCTGCTGAAGCCCGAGCAACACTAGAGCAGTACAGGGCAGGGGGTCTGGGCACTGGGAACCTGCAGCTGGGGCTGTCCAAGTCTATCAACCAGCGGCGGGCGTTGGAACTCCTAGCAGACACACTTCAGGACCGGCCGGGGGAGGACAGGGGCCACGCCATCCGCCTCATCAGCCTCAAGGGGGTGGGTGCGGGTGACTGGCTCCATGCCATCCCAACAAGAGGAGACCTTAGCTTATCCCCTGGTCAATTCTCGATGGCCTTGGGCCTGCGGCTGGGCATGGAGCTGCCGGTCGCCGAGGTGTGTCCGTGCAAGCGGGAAAACGCGACGATTGCCGATAAGAGCCTCCCCAATCACCTCCTGCGGTGTGGGGATGGCGGGGACGTCGTAAGGACCCACCACGCCCTGGTTTTCGCGGCTCTCAGGATGGCCAGGGACGCGGGTTACAAAACGTTCCATGAGACCACGGCTTTCTCTCCCCCCGTCCTCCGAAAGCGTGCAGACCTGGCCATCCGAGACCAGGAGTCAGGGGAAACGTGGGTGACGGATGTCACGGTCACGGATCCAGTGTTGCAGAGGCGGGACAAGAGAGCCAGGAAGCCGCCTGGGTGGGCAGCGGAGGAAGCTTCCGAGGGAAAGCACAGGCTCTACGAGGGCCGCCCTAGCTACGCTGGGTTTTTTGGGCTGGCGGTAGAGACGTATGGGGCTCTGGCTAAGGACACGCAGCAGTTCATCCGTATGCTAGCCACCCATGCCGCCAAGACGAAATACAGGAAGGGACGCCTCACGACGACCGCCGCCCGACTCAATGCACACTTCAGGCAACGGTGGTCCGTGGTGCTCCAGCGCAGCCAGGCGATCTCAATCCTCTCCAAGTCAAACCGTGCAGCGGAAGCGGCTTTCCCACAGGCAGCGGCGGACCCTTGGGCACCTCGGCTGGGAGACCTTTGGCAGGTGCAGGTGGATGAGTATGAGGAGCGCCAGGCTCCAGCTAGAGCGGCTTGAGGGGCTGGGGAGAAGGGAACTCGGTGACACCGGGGGGTTGGGTGGCAGCAGGGGAGGAATACAGGGGCGTGGTGAGAGTGAGGAAAGGAATACAAGGTTTGGGAGGCTACGGGGGGGGACAGGGAATTGGTGGGTGTCTGAAGGAAGGTGTGAGGAAGCTGCGGGGTGAGGAAGGATAAGGGGAGGTCTTAGGATAGGGGAGGAACAAGGGATAGGTGGAATATGGAGTTCTCGAGGACTTCTGTTGCTGTGGACCGGGCTGCTCTGAGAGCTAGGTGACCTTTGTGCTTTCGATGGATGGGCTTGCTCAGTTTGCTTGTTTTTTCTAGCTTCTTGGTTGCTTCCATGTTTTAGACAAGCTAGTCACCACCACTTGCCATGCCTGTACCTTGTGACCCATATCAATACATGACTGCTTGAGAGAGAGAGAGAGAGAGAGAGAGAGAGAGAGAGAGAGAGAGAGAGAGAGAGAGAGAGAGAGAGAGAGAGAGAGAGAGAGAGAGAGAGATAGGCACTTAGTCCCTTAGCCTCTCAGCCTCTCAGCCGCCCCTACCCCTGCTATTTAAGGCCGAGGGCCTGGTGGGTTGATCATTATTCAGTTTTGGGTTCATTCCTTCTAACCCAGCGGCCTTCGGCTGCGCATGAGGGAACGGCAAGGGAGATAAGCACGAGAAATTATAAACCAAGACATACACGCAATGACTACACCTACACTTGCCTAGGAAGCACATGGGAACACCATGACGCAGGAACAGGCGGATTCTACATCTGATCCGCATCAAGGACGGCGAGAAGACCCGTCAGAGAGCGATGAAGCTCGCGCACCACCACATTGGTTGCGCCGATCAAGTCGACTGCAGTCGCTGCACGCATCGCACGGCGCAGCCCACGGAGCGCAGTCCCAAGCTGTCCAACGCCTGCAACTCCACCCCGCGCGGGCGCAGCCAACACGGGCGCAAGGAGCTCGGCAAGCCGATCAGCGGCATCAGGGCACTCGTCCAGGGGGCCGCCTACAAGAGGCACACCATGAGACAGAGCCGCGTGGCAATACACCTGGATCAGGTGCACGGCCCGCAGACCCTCAGAAAGGCGCCAGAGTTGCCCGAGTGCCACCTCGGGGACATCCGCCGAAGGAGAAGGCCCTACCAGGGATTGTAACGGAAGATCAGCTGCCGGAGGATCAGGAGCGACACGCAGCAGGGACGGATACTGCGGCGTCACTGGTGCCCCGCTCGCAGTCACAAACTCCACCCCTGCCACTGGAGGAACCCACGGCAGTCGGAGGCGGTTCCCACGAGCGGCAGCAGACGCAGCGTGAGCACGAGGAGGAGGAGCGGGAGTCGAGGGAAGAGGAAGAGCAGGCGCATGGGGCGCTGGCGCAGGATGAGACACCGGCGCAAGAGCGTGGCGCGGCGAATTTCTCAGACTCGCCCGCCCGTTCCGCTCCTCGCGCATCGCGTCAGACACAACTCGTTGCAAGTCGGCCATTGACACCGGCTGATCATACCTCTAGCCGCCACCGCGACCACGCCCTCCCCACCAGCCTCCTGGGCCGCCGCGAGGTGCAGCCCAATTCGCCTGCGACCCACGGCGGCGAGGTGAATCGTGACGCCGCCGTGACGTCTCTCGCTCGTCACGCGGGGCAGGGGAATGGGGCCGATTCTACCGACGGCCGGGGGACGGAGGACGTTGTGCACGCGGAACATGAGCAAGGGGTGCAGGAGCAGGACCCGCCTGGACGATCGGAGGCGGCACCTTTGCATGCGCAGATGAAGGGGCGGGAGCATCCGGAGGAGACACGCGAGCCGACTGAACCTCCGCTCAGCTCAGGCTGGCGCTGGTAGCTGGAAGTGGCTGGTACGTCGGGTCCGCCCCAACAACACCAGAAGGCACCACGACAGGCGCGACCAGCGGCGGCGCAGAGGCGTCCAGCAGCTGCAGACGACGCCGCAACCACAGGCACGGGCGCCGGCATGGGGACAGGTGGAACCACCGGCGCAGGCGCAGAGGCGTGCGCAGGATCAGACGCTGCAACAGGCCCAGGGGCAGGGGCGGGAGCGGACACCGGGGCGAGCCCGGGAGCAAGTGACAACGCGGGCGCAGGACCAGGCGCCACGCCAGGGGCGGGCAACGTCGCCACGGCGGGTCAGCCGGCGCCAGGACACGGCCATCCTGAGTCACCGACGACGGCGCAGATTGAGGTGCGGGAAGAGGCGACATCCCCACAGCCGCAAGCGCCGGGGACGACGAGGCAAGAGGGGCAATTGCAGCTGACCCCACGGCAAAGGGCTGCGGCGAGTACGAATGATACTCGTCGCCAATCGACACAGGCATCGCGTGGCGGACGAGGCGGCGGACGTGGAGGAGCGACTGGAAGGGGAGGCGGACCGGAGAATGGCTTCCAGAGGGAAGCTCGACGCGCCTTAACTCGAAGAGTGGAGAACACAGAAGCTGAGGAGGAGGCAGGAGATCCAACGTTTATAGCGGAGGTGGTGGAAGAATCCACCACAGAAGAATCGGGGGAGTTTGAGGAGGAGGAACGGGAAGGCAGACATTGGGCAAACCCAACACCACGTCGAGCCGCTTCAATTCCAGCATCAACAGGTGGCGAATTAAACCGGACGGTACCGGACACCACCGCATCAGAGACCCGCCAATTCTCACCTGAACAATTGGCCAGGGACTTGGTGCGGTTCGGCGAGGTAGAATTATGGGACCTGACCCCTTTCCGTGACAGTTGTCAGCCCCCACTCTCGTGCAAACTCCCTGCTGACATTCGCCCACTATTCGCCACAGCCCTCCTGACACCACTCCTCCACCTCGCGCGTAACCCTGCGTCAGTCGCAGGCTGGCGCCTGCTACTCTTGCTCCCGCGCCTCACCCTTCGCCTGGCGTCAACGGAGAAGCCTGATTGGCCGGCGGTCAAGAGCAGACTTCGCCAATTTAACAAAGGCGAATGGCAGCGACTTTACGATTCAACTATTACCGCAATCACAGGACCACACCCGCCTCGCCACACGCCAGATGCCCTCGGCAAACGTGCCAGGGCAGAAGGCCTCGCACGAAAAGGAAGCCTTCGCAGGGCGATCATCGCCCTCGAGTCAACGCCGGTCGCTGACCCATCCGCACCCATCCTCGCCGCCCTCAAAGCAAAACACCCCCCCGCGCCACCTGGCATCATCGATTGGAACGTCCCCGAAACTGTGCAAGCGGCGTCGATCGAAAAGGGGGATTTCATTAAACTGTTGTGCTGTTGTGAGAACGGGGTGGGAGGAGGACTGTCGGGTATGACATTTGAGCACCTGCGCGACGCATCACTCGCCAACGCGGCGGTTACCACACACCTCCACGCCCTCGTCAATACTATTTTGGGAGGTAAACTGCCCGACGAAGTTTGCTCGCTATTGACAGCCAGCCGGCTCATAGCTCTGGCCAAGCCTGACGGGGGAGCTAGACCGATAGCAGTAGGCGAATGTATACTACGACTAGCCGCCAATTCAGCCCTCTCAGCCCTTTCCAATAAATGCAGTGCGCATTTCCTCCCATTACAGTACTGCGTGTCCGTCCCGGGCGCTAGCGAAGCGATTATCCACGCCGCGCGGGCCTTCACTTATGCAAACCCAGGAACGCTGATACTGCAAGCCGACTTAGCGAACGCCTTCAACTCGATTAGCCGCGCAGCAGTAGTCAATGCACTTCGCAACACTGACCTCCAAGGCCTTATTCCCCTCGTCAAAGCATCCTATAGCAAGCCGGCCCAGTTGTTCCTAGACGCGGGGTTTGGTTGCGAAGCACTAACTAGCAAGACAGGCGTGCGACAAGGAGATCCGCTCGGCCCGCTGCTGTTCGCCGCTGGGATCCACCCTGTTCTCACCACGACAGCCGCAACCTTCCCTACGGTTCTATGCCTCGCATTCGCTGATGACATCACCTTCTTAGGCCCCGCTGCAGACTGTTCCGACGCTTTCCGCCACTTCACGGCTTGCCTACGCGACACAGGACTTACCCACAACCCAGGGAAGTGCGCCACGTAGAGCACAGCAGCAACAGACCCCCAGCAACTGCCCGAGGGCGTCCCGCTACGCAGGGAGGGGCTGAGAGTGCTAGGAAGCTTCATCGGCACAACTGACGGTGCGGCAGCCTTTATACGATCTCAGCTAGAGACACTGTCGTCCCCGCTGCCCCACCTAGCAAAAATGGACCCCCAGGTAGCGGCATTACTCCTAACACGGTGTATCTCCAGGCACATCTCATACCTAGCCCGCACCACATCCCTATACCTGTTACCCGAAGCGGAGTGGTCACGGTGGGGCCAGGCGCTGCTATACACACTCCTAGATGCTTGCGGGGTGCGCCACCCAAGGGGGGAATCAGAAGACACACGTATCTGGGACCAAGCCTCACTCCCACCAAGCCTAGGTGGCCTAGGCCTCGCCAACCCAGCAGTAGAGGGCCGGTACAGTTTCCTGGCTAGCTTTGTGCAGGCACATACACTTCTCGGTCAGCTAGAGGGGCAGGCAGGGGCCACTTTGACAGCAGCATTAGACACCCCCGCAGCAGCCGACCACAGCCCCAATGAGCTGCAGAGGTGGATCAGGGACTGCAGGGACAGCCTCACGCAGGAAGGGAGGGACCTCATCTCGGCGAAGCGGAAAAAACCCAAGGGCCAGCTGCAGCACCGCCTCGCTCTCCTAGTCCAAGGGGGGCGGAGTGCTGCCCAGATCACCGCGTCGAGACAGATGGACCTGAACCCACTGATGGGCCACACCCAACGCCTCATGTCTCTCACGGGATATGGGGCAGGGGACTGGCTCATGGCGATCCCCTACATGCCAGCGCTCCGGTTATACCCCTGCCACTTCACGTTCGCCCTACAGTTCCAGCTCGGCATGCCGCTCTCGGTGCCAGACTGCTGTGATTGCAGCAAACGAGTCCCCATTCCAGACAAGAGGCTGTCGAAATATTTTGTCATGTTTTATAACTGCTTGTAGTTGTAGTTAGTGTAGTTATTTAAACTGTTGTTAGTGGTGCACCTTATTTGGTTTCTATGCTATATGTACCCTTGAACCTATAGTGAAACCATCTTCATTTTCTCCCATTTTCCTCTCTCAACTCACTCGATACCTTCCCTAGGGGAAAACCCGCTCGACACCTAAGTTCGGGCCTAGGCTACTAAGCCTAGGCCCCACCTCTCAACTTACTTATTATCTCGACATGGTATCAGAGCATTTTTACGACCTGGCCTGTGTGCCCGCCTTACGCTTCCGCGATGAGTTTTTCGGTCGCGCGCCTAGGGCGCGTGACGATTTTTAATTAGTCCCGCCCACGGGTGTGTGGCTCCTTCTCTGCCCGTCGCGCGCCCCGTGGCACGCGACGGTGCCCTTCATCTGCCCATCGTGCGCCCCATGGCACACGATGGTGCCCTGCTCGTCGTGCGCCCCTAGGCGCACGATCGGGCCCGTTTTCTTCTTCTACCCGTCGTGCGCCCCGTGGCACTGGCACGCGACGGGCCTTTCTGCCCCTGCTCTCCCTGAAGCCGCCCCTGACCCACTGCACCGACACCTTTTCGCCGCTCTGCAGCTTTCTTCCTTCCCACCCCCTTCCTCCTTTGTCTCCCTGCATCCGTGGGGAGGAGGGTATGGGGGTGGAGGGTGTTGGAGTGTGGCGTCACCTCTCTCCCTTCCCCTCCTCCTTCTTTCAGTCCCACCGCTGCAGCTGCCGCTGGGGGGGGAGGGTGTGAGGATGTGGGGGAGCAGGGGGAGTGGTACCGGGGTGGCGGGTGTGAGGCAACATGCAGCCGTCCCTCCACCTCTCCTCTCTTCCCCCCCTTCTCTGCTGCTCCTGCAGCAGTGTGGGGGAGGGGAAGGAGGAGGGTGAGGAGATGGAAGGGGTACCTGCTGTTGCTTGCTATGCTGTAACTACATATCTACCTACAAGCATTATGGGGGCGTGTCGAAATATTTTGTCATGTTTTATAACTGCTTGTAGTTGTAGTTAGTGTAGTTATTTAAACTGTTGTTGGTGGTGCACCTTATTTGGTTTCTATGCTATATGTACCCTTGAACCTATAGTGAAACCATCTTCATTTTCTCCCATTTTCCTCTCTCAACTCACTCGATACCTTCCCTAGGGGAAAACCCGCTCGACACCTAAGTTCGGGCCTAGGCTACTAAGCCTAGGCCCCACCTCTCAACTTACTTATTATCTCGACAGAGGCTGCCGAACCACTTGCTGCGGTGCGGGACTGGCCACGGCCGGACTAATACGCACAATGAGCTACGGGACGAATGCATCCGTATGGCGCAGGATGCTGGATTTGACGTGCACAAGGAGTGCACCGCCTTCAGCCCGGTCGACAACAAGAAGGCCGACCTGGCCTTCAGGGATGGGAGCTCGAGGGCAGTGTGGCTGGGAGATATCACAATCACAGACCCCATCAGCAAACGGGACGAAACTGCAAGGAAGGGGAGGGGCTGGGCAGCGCGAGAGGCAGCAGATAAGAAGATAGGACTATACCTCGGCAGGGCAGAGTATGTTGGATTTGTCCCGTTGGCAGTAGAAACCTATGGCTGCCCCTGCGATGAGGTACCCACCTTCCTGAAGCTTATGGCAGATAAAGCTGCACGGAAATTCTCAATGCGGACCCATCTACCTATCAGGCCGCGAAGATGCTCCATCAGTTCCGCCAGCGCTGGTCCATTGCCCTCCAGAGAGCTCAGGCAGTGAGCTTCCTCACAAAGCTGAACCTGGCAGCACGAGCAGAACACCCCCCACTAGGGGGGCCAGAGGGGGAGATGAACCCCGGTGACTGCTTCACAACACTAGAGGCACCTTAGAGGGAACAAGGGGGGCGGGGAGGGGGGGGAAGAGAGTAGGGAGGGAGGTGTTTGCTGGCTTATCCTTGTGTTTGCTTGCTACTCCTTGTGTTTGCTTGCTTGCCCTTTTTGCTATCTAGGTTCCATCCATAGTCTTTGCATGTCTGTACCTGCCCTTATTATCAATACAAAGGACCGTTTGAGAGAGAGAGAGAGAGAGAGAGAGAGAGAGAGAGAGAGAGAGAGAGAGAGAGAGAGAGAGAGAGAGAGGGGGGGGGGGACTTAGCCTCTTCCCTCCTAGCCTCTTCCCCTTCCCCCAGCTATATAATGGCCAGCCGGCACCTTCCCTAGCTCATTATTCATTTGGTGATTCCAAATTTTCCGGCGCTCGCGTGCGCGGCCTATGGCCGCGCATTTTAGGAGGCTGCTTAGGTAACGGGACAACTTTAGCAGACAGCATGGCGACAAACAACATCAACTAGCAGGCATCATGGAGAAGGTCTACACAAGACAAAGGGGGGCACCTACATGCGGTCCGCCCCCAGAAACAAGAGCATTCCGCGCGTGGTCTGCCACAAGTGGCGGACCACTGACACGCAGACGGTTAGAGCATCTCCGGGTGTGCCTTCAGCCGACCCTGCAATGTGCCTCAGATCCAGGGCCGCGCGAGCCAGCAGGTTGGCTGCGTCTGCACCCGGGGAGGGCGCTGCCTACAGTGGCGCCAAGAGGGATAGGATCTCATCCGCCGCCCCCAAGCACGCTGCTTGCGGTTTCTCAGCAAATGTGCTCGGGCGGGATATCGGCATCGACGCACGAGTCGACCGGAGA